CCCCCCCTCCCCTAAAAAAAAAGAAAGATAATATAAAATGTTTTCCAATTCCAGCTTCAGATATTCACAACCAAGCTTACAGGCACGACAATCGGCGTATCTGTTTTCGGTCTGTTTGTCATCACAAAAGAGGCACTGCTTACGGTAAGTTGATGGAGAGGTGAACAAATCAAATGTCTTTCAACTCTATTAAGTCATTCAAGACGTTTAACGTCCATCTGCGAAAGGCTGGTCCCAAGGACACAACGTAAGACAGATCTGAGGCTCGAACACCCGTCCGCCATGTTGCCTAACCACTAGGCTATCGGTGAAGAGTGGTAAACGTATAATAGATTTTTATAATCAAATCTTAGATTGTGTGCTGGGACGTATTTCCAGTTCACTATGGAACGTACCATACGAAATGCTTCACGCACTCAACTAGATATATAATATGTAACGAGACCAGTGCTTTGCCTTTCATTTGGGCGTAATGGTGTGGTCCATGTTGTGCGCGCTTCGCCGCTAAATTTCTACAGACAGCAAAGAGCAGTGACCATAGTGTTGTGTCCTTGTTTGGGTTCTTTAAGGTATATTTAAATTAAAACAAACACAGAGTTCAAGAACTGTTGGTTTATTCACTCTTAGAAGGCACACACGAAAGGTTCTTCTTCCTTTCTACCCCGCGTCAGCGCTACAACCAAAGATTCTCTACTACCAAGATATTGCGCTTCCTCTTTTGTCCGCGCTTTGCCACTGAGCGCGTGATGGGCTACGTCACTAGGCGACGCGATGTTTGTGCGTGTGTGTGTGTGTGTGTGTGTGTGTGTGTGTACAACTTTGTTTGGGGTGGAAAGAGCAGGTACAGAATGGTAGACCTACGGGTTAAATTTATGGAACGAGAATTGGTGAGATTGTCTAAAGATAACACAATTTAACACACACACAAAAGAACGAAAGGGAAAAAAGGAAAACGGGTGGGGCTGAATGAGAAGGAAGAAAATAAAACTGAAAATCTTACTTTACTTTACTTTATCCGTCCTCTTGTACCTGTAGGGCGTCGAGGGGAGAAAGAGCTTCCTGTCTCTTGCAAGTTTGATAGCCTGGATGGGTGGGATATTGATTGTTTTCAGGGTATCCTTCACACCCTGGATCCAGGTTTTTCTTGGTCTTCCGCTTGCTTTGTACCCTGATACTTTCCTGTAGTAGGCTTTATGGCAAGCTGGTTAGGTGCCTTACGTGTGAGATGTCCAAACCACCGGGTTGTTTGCCTTCGGATGTAGTGGGGGGTAGGCCAGGTGTTGTTCCTACCATTTGTCTGATTTTGTTGTTTCTGAAAATCAACAAACAAAAACTAGGAAAATTATTTAATGATTTAAAGCGCCAAGATGTTTACCGATCGAACTCAGGTAGTTGGCTGTCCAGTTGCAACGATGGTTATAGTGTCGTAGTTAGTCTAGCACGTTGTCACTGGTTGACATCATATTAATTACAGAATTTCTAGACAAAAACATACTTTGTGCTATGAGAGTAAATTTCTTTGTCCAACTTAAGAAGTGAATGTATAGTGGCGACAAAAAGTCTTGCAATTTCTTTATGACTTAATGATGCTATCTTCCATAACAATTTCTGGCAGATTCAAAATGTCCCTGTCTCTTTTTGGTGATATTTAACAACATTTAAATTAATGAGTTGTTTCCCCACCATCTGAGTGCTTGAAATACGACGACTGGTGCTGTGTAAAGAGCGTCCCATTTAATTAAACCCCTCTCTCGAAAGCTTTTCAATATATAAAGTCTCCTCAGATTGTTACATTTCTAACATGAAAGTTAGACTCTGACTGCAGTGATCTGACCAAATTGACATAATAATAATAATAGATCCCTGTAGTCGTGCTGGACGAATTGTACAGTTAGGGAAAGTAAAAATAAACTTGACGTTACCGAAGAGATACATCAAAATCAAAGAAATCTCATGGAGATCAAATCTCGATTCCGAAAAAAACAGTATTTTTATATCAAGCTGTTGAAACCATGTGCTTGAATATTGAATAGAACATCAGCTGTTTTGAACATTGACGACAGTGACTTATATTAAGTATTTTGGCCGGTTTCGAGCGTTCCATCCCATGAGGTTAAGGAAATGGAAGCGCCCTTACAGAATTATAGTCGGGATATGTGATATGGACAATTGGATACGGTACATGGGGAAACAATAGGTGAGAGATGGGAAACAGAAGGTGATATTCGGAAGATGGGAGTGGTCATATGTGTACAATAATGACTGTATTGCACTAGGTCAGCCTGAGAACCGACGCAGAGGGAAAATGACAGGAATCAATTACATTGTAGTTTTATTATTATAACAAACACCTCCCCTCCCCCCCTCTCTCTCTCTCTCTCTCTCTCTCTCTCTCTCTCTCTCTCTTTCTCTCTCTTTCTCTCTCTCTCTCTCTCTCCCTCTCTCTCTCTCTCTTTCTCTCTCCCTCCCTCCCCTCCTCCCTCTCCCCTCTCTCTTTTTCTCCCTCTCTGTCTGTCTGTCTGTCTGTCTCTAACTCCCTCCCCCACCCCTTCTCTCTCCCTCTCTCTTTACCCCCCCTCCCTCTCTCTCTTTCTCTCACACACACACACACACACACACACACACACACACACACACACACACACACTGCCTGCAGACAAAATTGCACGCTTTTAACTCGAGAGCCCTGGAACATTTTGTCTACACTCGTATTACGGGCCGTCACGCACCAATACAAGGTCGCGCTCAAGTCTCGCCCAGACGCAAGATAGGGCCATTGAAACGTCTTGGGGGTAGAGAATCTTTGCTACAACTTACTCACGCTCAAAGCCTTGGCCTACACCCTATGAGCTCTTCTATCTTAGTTTATTGCCTTAAGTAGTGGTCATAAAGTTTGTGGTACCCGAGGGAGCGGTACCCAGAAGCGTAACTCCCGGACAAACAAAGAAAAACAGTCAGTCTACATAACACATAGCAGTGCGCTGCCAAGGAGTAACCTACCCGTCTGCGATAGATACACAATGAAGTTTAGCACTCTTCTCCCCTACCCAGCCGACACCTATCAACAACAAAATCTAATGTCAGAGATAATATCTCGACCAGGTGACATCTTCTAACAAGACGTAACCTTTGCTGTGGTAAAAGATACACAATGAAGCTTTGATGTGGTGAAAAATACTTCTAGATCACTGTCAGCTGCAGTCGTGTATTCATATGTCATGGATGACGTGCCAGAACATATGCTGTAAATATCCAGAGTTTATGTTCAGTTTCACTGAGCGAAAAATAAAAACAAGTGGAAATGAATTCTAAAAAGATCACTTGAAGGCATTGCTTATATATTGACGAGAACAGGAAAGGGTAATTTATTGTCCTGCGCGGGCGTTCCATGTTTTAAGCACCCGTGATACATCTTTAAACTTAAGGCCTCTGGAGAGTCTTTGATACTTTTCTTATTGGATTTTTCTGTTATCTTCATCGTCATCTAATAGTAACGGACACGGCATCAATAAAAGAAACAAAGAAACCACCAAAGAACAAAGGGTGGAGTCGCAGCCGAGACAACAACGGACAATTAATATTATGCAATATATAAACAGCAGTAACTGCAGTCAGTTTCCACAACACTCGTAATCTATGTGTCACGACGCGTTGGAATCAGGCACTCGTCAGTTTTTGGGCATAATATGGAGTTATTGGTATCATCTGAAAACTTTGTCATTTTTTTTTTACTTTCTAAGCAAAAAAACCCAACATTTATCTTGAATAGAAGCTGAGGTAATTGCGATTGAAGGAGGTGGGGTCGCATGATTTCAGAGGTGAAATCCCGCAAAGTTAGGTGACTTTCAAGGCTTGAGAGTCCTTGGAAATTGGAAAATTAGATTTTTAGTGCCTAGTGTAAGCAACGCTTTCTGTAAAAATCCGCACGAAAATGTGTTTTAAAAAGAACTTAAAATGTGTTGACCCAAAAACCAAAAATTTGATAAAAATTTCTAAAGAAGCAGAAAAATGCTGGTTTCTTTAATTTGATTATTTTGACGAGCTCCTGGTGGTTTCAAAACGCTGCCTTAATTTCATAAGCAAAGGCATTTTTACCTCCTTTTTCGCTTTTATTTTTCCCCAGATTGCTGGCGCCTACGTGACCTACTTCTTCGTCCTTACTCAGTTCAGATTCTGATAAATGTTGACCTCAGAGCAGTCGGGTGGAATTTAAAACATTCTTCTCAATTTGCTGCCGTGTTCAGACTCAATAAAAGGTTAACTTTGTGAACATTGCAATACAATGATTAAGATAGAGAGAAAAGAGAGAGACAGAGAGAGAGAGAGAGAGAGAGAGAGAGAGAGAGAGAGAGAGAGAGAGAGAGAGAGAGAGAGAGAGAGAGAGAGAGAGTAATAAATAAGATATATATTATGTATGTTCATGTGTACTTAAATATATATAATTATATATAACATTATATATGTATATATATATATATATATACATATATATATATACATATATATATATATATACATATATATATATATATATATATATATATATATATATATATATATATATATATACGTGTGTGTGTGTGTGTGTGTGTGTGTGTGTGTGTGTGTGTGTGTGTGTGTAATAAACCATACACCAAGATCTATTTTATAATCGTTTTAATTTTTTTTAATGCAGTTTCTACTCTGAAGTATTGGCAGCATGCACTCGAAAAATACTTTGTCAAAATTCAAATTTTAATTGTTGAAAGAAGTCAATGAAAAGACATGTGAAGTGGGTACAATTTAAAGAAAAAACTCAACAGTTTTTTCCCCCACTCCTGAAAAATGTCAATTCTGGGCTTGGATCAGTTGAACAGCTTTTTGAAAAACAAACAACAACAACAACTGGACAAGGTAGATAGCTGGATAAACAAACAAGCAGACAGACTGGGATTGAGATTGCTTGACAATGACACATTGTATAATATTATTCTACTTTCATGATTGCTGCTTGAATTGTAAGTTGGTGTATGTTGTGTATCAGTGTCAACACCTATGAGACTGCACGTAATGAAATTGTCAAGTTGCAAGTGCTATGAAACTTTTACTTAAATAATCCTGAAAAATAAAAACCCACTGAGTAATATCTTGCCCAAGTATAGGCTAACTTAAGATTGCTAACTTAAGATTTCGTCTCTATTTTTTCTCTCACCTTGATCCTCTGGCTTCTGGAAGAGGAGATTTCATGCAAGTAGAACTAAAGCACTGTGTAGCTATAATAATTCTCAAACTCTTCTTAATCCGTTAATCAAAGTGACCAAAATATAGACCACCTGAAATGTATCTAGCTCAGAGTGACTTACAAAATAAAAGATTTTTGAGTTGTATTTTTGTGTCCAATGGGGGTGAAAAGAATAGTAAGACAACAAACAGAATTGACAGATGGATATTACAAAGAGAATCCAAGTTTGACACCATCCAAACTACAGAAAACAATAGTAGCAACCACACCGTCTCTTTTAATTTGCAGGGACATACTGTCACTTCTTCGGTGTCAACCATGTTTTCCTGGCATACCGGACAGTGGGTGACAGAACTCACTTCTGACAACCTCGAACCTTCTATACCACATACAGCCCTCCTTCACGTTCTTACTGTACAGCAGATAATATGTGGTAGCGTTAAAATGAAAATGCACGACCTCGTTCTCTGGTTTTCATTACCTCTTCCTCACCCTTACGTCATGGAAAGTAATTTTGAGGATCAAATGCTGGCTTTAAATTAAATCCTCCTTCACTTAGAAGCTGAAATATAATGAAGGAAGTTAAACGCTTTTAAAAGCAAATTCCTTTCAAATGACACATTTACACCTAAAAGATATTATCATGTCTCTTAACTTTCCAGTGTTCAGTGCATTTAGAGCAGTGTATCCCTTACTGTATCCCTAAATGAACCCCTCTGGATGCCAATAGCCTCCATGAACCCCAGTGAAACTCAGATCAGATTTTATTTCAACTGATAGTACTAGGGATTTGACTTTCAGAAGTGTCTTACGAACCCCCCCTCCCCTGAGATTGCCTCATGTACCTTCAAGGATTTTACGAACTCGAGTTACTAGGGCTGTAGTAAACTGTGCCGAGGCGCCTTAGCAGAAATTAATGGTAACAATCAAATAGAGGCAGCATTTGCACATACGGCAATTTGCCTCTTCCCGGGATGTGGACTGTGGGCATGTGATTTTTAGGTCAATGTCTAATGACATCTCACATCGTGTCAAAGCGGCAAGAATAAAAAGTCTTTTTAACTATAATTCTTCAAATTCTTCAATTTTGCTGGAGAAATAGTCTCCATCTGCAGATGTATTGGTCATCGTCTGACAAACACGGACGAGCTGGAATGTAAGACGAATTCATGATCATCTGTGTCAATTTGTGGTCCCATCTCACACCATTTTTCCACAGCCAAAATACAACAGGATCGATGGTTAAACTGAAAGTACACAGCGGAGACGGATGCAGGTATGAACAGTGATCATTTCCACTCAAACTGAACTAAACCGTGTTTGCCACGTCAGGACACACGTTTTTTACAAAGTACAAAACGTTAATTCGTGAGTCCCTATGATGGTATACACCGGTATAAACTGTCATAAGACAAACATCACGGTACAGTTCGCTACAGCACAGCTTGTGTAAATGCGGCCTTACGAACCCCAGAAGTCCTGAAACATTGTTGTTGTTTTTTTTTCATTTATAAACTATGTGAGCCTATAATCCGACCCACTAAAACAAAACAGCGTCAGTTCCTATATTTCCTACCTTGGCTAAGAGCTGTCGGAACTAAGTTTAGTTTAGTTTCGTTTAGTTTTAGTATAGGTTTTACGGCGCTCGCAACTGCATAAGGTCATATAAGGGCCAGAAGATTAGAGGTGTTACAAGAGAGTAACAAACATAAAAAAGAAGAAGGGGAGATAAGGACGATAGATGTTAGATAGGAAAAAAGAAGCAAACCACACCAGAGCACCCGCCAACCACCCACTGGGAACTAAGGATAGACATACATAAAGTGACAAATTTGATCTCACGATACCAATCAAAGTATAAGTCAATGACAAACAAATAACAGAACATTGGAAATGAAGATCAATAGGACAGTAAGGTTACTTGATGTTTTCCGCATTAATATGTACTGTAGCTGCTACTTTTATCACAATTTCCATTCTTATTACAGAGATTTTGCTACCACTAGGACTAACGTTTTCACAACGACTATTTGGCCTAACATAACAATTATTGCAACAACCCTCAAAGATTTAATGCGAAATAATTTGCGTTCTTTGCTAATTTTACCAATCCCCAAATCGGTGTGTTTTTGGTCTAAAATGAGGCGTTTAAACAGTTGTAAACTGTTCCATATTCTGGCCGCAGTTCGCTTTTATGTTATTCTACCATAACTAAAAGTGTAACGACCGACCGCACAAGTCAATCAAATAAGTAAGAGGACAAAGAATTAAATATACTTCCAGGATTTCTGAAACCTTTTGGATGGAGTGTTACCGTGCAAATAAACCTAATTCATGCAAGCACTTGTGCTATAACACAATGATGTGTTGGCTCTGACAACTAGGCATGCACAAAAATTAGAAGATTATAAGAATAACTAAAAGTGTAACGACCGACCGCACAAGTCACTCAAAAAGTGTAAGGACAAAGAATTAAAGATACTTTCAGAATTTCTGAAAACAATAAGGTTTGGAAACAGCATACCAGTGCTGAGAATCCTAAGAAATGCTAGCACCTAGAATAAAACTCAAAACTGAGTTCACTCTGACAACTAGACATGCACAAAAACTAAAAGATTATGACCACAACGAAAAGGGAAACGATCGACCGCACAAGTCACACAAACAGTATAATAGGAAAAATATTTAAATATACTTCCAGGTTTTCTGAAACCATTTGAGCTTAATAAGATGTAAACGTGCAAAGAAACATAAAAAGTGCAAGCACTTGGGCTATAACATAATAATGTATTAGTTCTAACAACTGGACATGCACAAAAATTAGAAGAATATACCCATAACAAAAAGTGTAACGAACAACCGCACAGATCACTCAAAAAAATTAGGAGGACAAAGAATTAAATATACTTCCAGGTTTTCTGAAACCATTTGACTTTGAATGGAGTGTTACCTTGCAAACAAATATAATTCAGGCAAACACTTGCGCAATAACAAAATAATGAGTTTCTCTGACTACTAGGTATGCACAAAAATTAGAAGATTATAAAGATAACTAAAAGTTTAACGACCGACCGCACAAGTCACTCAAACAGTAGTAGGAAAAAATAATTAAATACACTTCCAGGTTTCCTGAAAACATTTGAGTTTTCATAAGGTGCAAGCGTGCATAGAAATCTAATAAATGCAAGCACCTGGGCTATAACATAATAATGTATTGGCTCTGAAAACTAAGCATGCACAGAAATTAGAAGATTATAACCATAATTAAAAGTTAACGACCGACATCACTAGTCACTCAAAAAATTAGGAGGAAAAAGATTTAAATATACTTCCAGGATTTCTAAAACCTTTCGAATTTGGATGGAGTGTCACCATGCAAATAAACCCAATTCAAGCAAGCACTTGCGCTATAAAACAATAATGTGTTGGCTCTGACAACTAGGCATGCACAAAAATTAGAAGATTATAAACATAACTAAAAGTGTAACGACCGACCGACCGCCCAAGTGACACAAACAGTTGTAGGAAAAAATATTTAAATATTGTTTTCTGAAACCATTTGAGTTTGGATACGGTGTATACGTGCAAAGAAACCTAAAAAGTGCAAGCACCTGGGCAATAACATAATAATGTATTGGCTCTGACAACTAGGCATGCACAAAAATTAGAAGATTAAAAATATAACTAAACGTGTAACGACCGACCACACAAGTCACTCAAACAGTAGTAGGAAAAAAGAATTAAATACACTTACAGGTTTTCTTAAACTATTTTGAGTTTGGATAGAGTGTTACCGTGCAAAGAAACCTAATTCATTAAAGAACATGGGCTATAGCATAATAATGTATTGGCTCTGACATCTAAGCTTCCACAAAAATTAGAAGATCATAATCATGACTAAAAGTGCAACGACCGACAGCACATGTCACTCAAAAAAGTAGGAAGGCAAAGAATTAAATATACTTCCAGGTTATCTGAAATCATTTGACTTTTGATGCAAATCAAAAAAGTAGGAAGACAAAAAATTAAATATATTTCCAGGATTTCGAAAAACATTTGACTTTGGACGAAGTTTTACCGTGCAAAGAAACCTAATACCTGCAAGCACCTGGGCTATAACACAATAATGTATTGGCTCTGACAACTAGGCATGCACAAATATTAGAAAATTATAACCATCATTAAAAGTGTAACGACCTACCGCACTAATCACTCCAAAAAGATATGAGGACAAAGAGTTAACTATACTTAGAGGTTTTCTGAAACCATTTGAGTTTGGATAAAGTGTAATTGTGCAAAGAAACAAACTACGTGCTAGTACCTGGGCTATAACATAATAATGTATTGGCTCTGACAACTGAGCATGCACTAAAAAAAATTTAAATATAACAATAATTAAAAGTATAACGACTGACAGCACAAGTCACTCCAAAAAGTAGGAAGACAAAGAATTAAATATTATACTTCCAGGTTATCTGAAATCATTTGACTTTTGATGGAGTGTTACCGTGCAAAGAAACCTAATTCATGTAAGCATTTGCACTATAACACAATAATGTGTTGGCTCTGACAACTAGGCATGCACAGAAAATTAGAAAATTATAAACATAACTAAAAGTGTAACGACCGACCGCTCAGTCATTCGAAATGTAAAAGGACAAAGAATTAGAGACACTTAAAGGATTTCTGAAAACAATAAGGTTCGGATACTGCGAAGCTGTGCAGAGGAGCCTATGAAATACTAGCAGCTGAGATAAAGTAAAAATGTGTTCACTCTGACAACTATCCTACCACAAAAACTAAAAGATTATTTCGATAACTAAAAGTGTAACGACCGAACGCACAAGTCACTCAAACAGAAAAAATTAATACATATGACTCCAGGTTCTTCTGAAACCATTTCAGTTTGGATAAGGTGTAAACGTGCAAAGAAACATAAAAAGCGCAAGCATCTGGGCTATAACATAATAATGTATTGGCTCTGACAACTGGACATGCACAAAACTTAAAGATTATAACCATAACTAAAAGTGTAACGACCGACAACACAAGTCACTCAAAAAAGTATGAAGACAAAGAATTAAATATTCTTCAAGGTTTTCTGAAACCATTTGAGTTTGGATGAGGTGTAAGTGGACAAAAAAACATAATAAGTGCAAGAACCTCTGCTATAACATTATAATGTATTGGCTCTGACAACCAAGCATTCACAAAAATTAGAAGATTCTAACCATAAGAAGAGAAAACTCCATATATATATGTATTCCACATCGACTAACGGATCTCGAAGTGATGGACAACCCGTCATGGATATCTTCAATGTAGAGACCAGTTGCAGTTCAGGCACAGATATGAGCATGGCATTGGTGAATAAGCACATTTACAATTTACAATTCTACTGTATAAGAACATATTAATGCCCCCCCCCCCTCCCCCTAGGGAATGGTATAAAGACACTTCAGTCAGTAGCACCGCCCCGGGGGGGTAATTCATGCACAAAGTCGTAGTAACAACCATTGCTTGAGACAAGGGAAGCTCTATGTAACCCACTCAAAGAGTAACTGATCTCCTAATGTAGGACAGTCAGTAAGTTAGGACAGGCGGTTATCTTCAGTGTAGATACCTTGCAACACCCGAGATCTCGAGTATACATCTATGTACCAGTTGCCCTCTTTTGCCACTTCTGGTAGTCGAACAATTTCGTCAGCGTCACTCCACAATCACCCAAAATCATTTTTGAGAGGTTTCTCAGATGAAGCCGTTATTTGAATAAAGACATCAAAAGGTATCTTACAAAAATATAGTTTAAAAAATTCAGTTTCATTATAATTCTTTCATAGTTTTTACTGATGTGCTGCACCAGTTTTATTATGTATTTGCCGAGTCATGTTGTAGTGTCACAGTAATGTGGATGTATGGGCCAAAGGCCTTACAATTCAATAAAATCAATAAAAATAGAAATCTATAGACCTATAGGCTACCTAAACCTTTGTCTTCAATTGAAAACATCGCCTACATAAGTCGTAGTTCTTATTTGGTCGTTTTTTTATGTGTTTTTTTTTTAATTTTCTGAACATTTCAAAGATGACTAAGGGTTTGCGGAACGATGCTGGCAAAGTATCATTGTTGAATATTATGCCGTAACGAGAGAACGGTTTCTACATGCTGTGTATCCTTAACTGTAGCCTACTAGGTTCTGGGTTTTGCTCTCTGCAGTACAGAAAAAATGTTTTATAATTACTATAACATGTGATTTTCAAATAACACACGTAACACCGAAAGAAATGGTGGAGAAAAATAAAAGGGAAAAAGGGGGGGGGGGGGGCAGTTTATTAGTTGAGGGTACAGTAAGATTGTGTTTGTCGCCCCTTTTAATCCAATAAGATTATTTACAGAGGCACGACTTCGATAATATTATATTTAACGTAATACAAGTAGGCCATGACTTGTTGATGCACTGGATCCTATACCTACTCTAGACTCTAGGCCTATGGAGACACAATCGGTTTTTGTTACATTTATGTTTGTCTTTTTCTTCTTTTTTTAGGGGGGGGGGGGGTTGAAAGTAATTATGTAATAAAATCTTCGTTTACATGTGAAGATTTGAAAATGAAAATTAATTAATTTGCTCTAGATCTATAAGAAAGCGAACATTTTCCGAAGGGTACAAAGTGAAGTCGGAAGTGAGCAGTGACGGAAGTGAAGAAAACGAAAGAAGTTTGTTTATATCCCTTGGGCTGACTTTGTAAACAAACACTGCTTGCCCTGCTTTCTTTATGATGACATAATAACCCTCTTGGTATAATAATTTGTTTTTGTGAGTTTTACAGATAGTTGAGTGAAGAGTAGGCCTCTCTATGATTGAGTGTGTCGTAACTGTAGGGTGGACCTTCGACTCTCACTTCCACTCTTGGAAGAGGCTAGCCAAGTTAATCATAATGTCTTAATGACGGCTAGACTGGCAGTCTAGCCGTACTTAAGTCTTAAGTACTTATTCTTAATAGGAAGAGGCTAGCCGTACTTAATGACGGCTAGACTGGCAGTCTAGCCGTACTTAACTTAATATGATGGCTAGACTGACCATTTAACAAAAAAATAGGCCTACTGAATTGTAAATATATATATATACATTTATAGTGTGCAGTACCTAAAGCATAATGTATTTGAGACGAAACCAGGTGCCTTAATGACAGTGAGTGTAGATCTATGTATTTTAAACCTCCTGTTTTCTAATGTTAACCCTAGAAGCGCTCAGCGTTTCACCGGAAGTAACCCGACAAAAATGCCCCGCCGCCACGGCCGATCAGTTGTAAACATGGGGGTTTGGCGGGGGGGGGGGGGGAAACAGCTGAGATACCCGAAATGTATACCTGCTACTGAAAAATGACCGTTTACGGCTCAACAGATGATAAAAAGCATATAAAAGCATATATTTTCTTTAAGCTGATAGAATGAGCCATTCAAAAATGATCAGCCACCAAACAAATACAAACAATGCCGAGAACGCGATAGACTCAACAATTAGTACATCAGCACGGCGAAACAAGTGATAACACATAGCGTGTAGTCGCTCAGCGGGACCGCGTCACTTTATCGATCGATATCTCGGCCAAGAGACGCTCTATGAGGTCAAGATAACTTGCAAAGTCATTGGTCACTATTTATAACTTTGGCCTGTAATTGACTATGTCATTTTCCATATAAGGAACGCTGGAATTTTCCATTGAAAAGGTTCAGCGTCTATGCCCTTTTTATAGGGCCTGCGCGCTTCCCGGTCGAAGTAGGTCAGCCCTATATATAGTGAATCCATTACGTTTTGTCATAAATTGTGCATTGGCCCCTGGCGTTGTGGGCGAGCTGTCATAATTCAATCACCTGTCGTTGTTGTTAGGTAGTCCCTCCAACCGATCATGTTGCGTAGGCCCCTCCCACTGTTGACCAATAGCTACCAATTTTCAGCTGCATGTGAGTTAGCGTGTGATCCCTCATAACCCAGAACTCATACACAAATCGTAAGTGAGATGAGTGGTTGCTGTTCACCCAGTCTGTAACAAAGTAACAAAGGACGTCAACATGAACTTGTTACAGAAGCGTCCCTCGTTCTCCGAGTGGTGGCGACCCATGTGTTTGTTTTAACATGGCACTCGGTCTTCCTTGTCTGATACATTTCGTTTTATTGTCAGCATTGTGCAAAATCAGCGACAAAATAAAAATTACAAACGAAATACAAACCAACAGCAACAACACCAACAAAGACAACAACAATGGGGCTACTTTCGATTGGGGCCTCAGATGGGAATGGTTTGTTTTCTTTATCTTGATCAGTCCTGCCTAAGACGGCCACCTGTCTTATGCGGCCACTTTTCCCTTTGACAATGGGTGGCCGTCTTACACAGGTTTGACTGTAGTCGGTATCAATGTTGTATGTTTTATCAGTAGCCTAGATCTAAATCTAGCCTACAAAATGAGCAATAAAATTTCACTTGTTTTTCACAAGGCCCGGGGGGGGGGGGGGGGGGCCCTGACTTTAAAAAAAAACATGGGGTGTTTCAGGGGGGCATGCCCCCCCCTGAATTTGACCACGATTTGATGTTTTGCAATAAGGTTTGAAAGGCTATCTCTCCATATCGGCACGCAAATCAAAAAGTAATTGTTTAGACTTAGAACCAGAAGTAATCGTCATTGGGATCAAAACTAGATTCTAGATTTTCCCAGTCACAAAAGTCGGGACCACCATATCCAAGTAGTGCCTTATGGGGGTTTCAGGGGGTCTCCCCCTGACGATCGTGTACTAGCTGTTGGCCTACTGATGTGTAGCCTAGATATCTAGTAGGGGCATCTAAAAATTTGCGACGTTTTTCAGTGCCAAAATCGTGTTCAGGGCCCTAAAAAAACGCTAGTTAAGTCGGGTGTCAAGTCCACCTGGTCTATATGTGCGTCCACTCGCTGTATTTCGTTTTATTCATTGGTTGTGGATCGATTCCGGTCCTGCAATTAAAAAGTATGAGAAGTTTCCATTTCATTTCGCATTTTACACTCTGGAAGTCGCCATTTTCTGGTAATTAAAAATATGTCTTCATCATTAGCGAGTTACACTAGCGGAGACGCTTGCTAGTCGGTTGCTTGGCAACTTATGAACTCCAAGCGCCCTTACTTGCTTTTATTACCGCTTTACAAAGGTTCTAAAATATAATCAGAGAGGGTTTACAATAATAGAGAGGTGACACTCGTGGCGGCGCTCCATAACAACAGTGCATTGTTTCGCGTCGCCCAGCGCGGGGCGCGAAAACACTTTACACGCGGTGATCACTGCCACGGCGATGCTCAGTGATGCTGTCATGCCATGAGAAAATGTAGTGCCGTCTGTAGTAAGTTCACTAGGTTACTAGGCCTTTAACAAAGAAGGAGGCCTGTGAAATTCTATCGCATATTTTAGGCAACCCCCTGCCTTCCTTGGCCATTTATAAACTGTAAGACTTGTTTTTGGCTTAAGTTAACAAAATTCTAATAAACAAATAGACGCAGATGTACTAGATATGAAAAAAATTATATCCCTGTAATTAAAGGAATAATCTGTTTAATTTTCATCAAATCTACTCATTCTCCAGTGACCCTCTGTCATCTCTCTCTCTCTCTCTCTCTCTCTCTCTC